AGCAGCATGTGACCACCTGCAGTCCGCGACGGGAGGCAGCATGTCCCCATCACTCATCAAATGTTTGATGTAAACTCCACCCAGACCTATCAGGTACATGAAAGAACTGTAGAGAGACCAAGATGGCCCCTGCCACTGCCGCCTCCATACATCATACGAAGGCCATCCAAGAAGATCAGCGAATCGCTGGATCTTTTGCTGTGTCGTTCCTCCTCTGAGGCTTCATCTTCCACGCCATCCTGGATGCCAAGCGGCCGAAGAGTTTGAAAGGCAAAACTGCAAAACAGTGTCCCTGGAGTTGCTGTGCATATCATCATCATATCTATGAAAATATGAAAATACTGAAGATCTTGATCTCGTCCAGGTTGAATCACTGCGAACCACAGCCACTTGAAAATGAACACCGCCGACTGAGAGGCCGAGGGTCGAAAACCTTCTCCAGGAAAGGTTTCAGCTCAAAAGCTGCAATGGCGCTGCCTGGCAGTCGAAAAACAACATGCAACAGCCAAGGACGTGGTCACTCCTCTACACTCTGCAACATCAGAACACAAGTCGATTATGTGTTCATCCTTTTAATTTCTGAGATTTTCTGAATCGAATCCACCCATCACAAAATCACAACTTCATGGAAGGTGTCAGCCTTCCGTTTTCACCAACCCGCCATCCCAAAGACAGCACCTGTTCGTTCCAGCAAGGGTTTGTCCACCAAAGGCTTCAGCTCCTCTTCCAGGGCCGCCTCGGCACCCTCGCGGGTGCGCGACTCCTGAAGCACCAGAAGAACCAGTGGTGCGGGTGGAGTTCTCGAAGCGACTTAACACTCCTGAAATCGGAAAAAACTTTGGAAAATCCTCTCACATCATCTGAAATCCTCTAAGACCATCTAAAGTCTATCAACATGGAATCCCAAAAGATGAGTTTGGAGGGTGATATGTTTCCAAGATTCCATGCAGCAAGACACCACCACAGAGTTGATGTACTTACCTCGGAGGCAAACGTCTGGAGGCACCACCATGCCCGCTTTGAGTCACAGGGTGCTGTACTTTGCTGAAAGTCTCGGTTCCAACTGTGGCCGCAGATCCTTTCACTCCGTAAGTAGCTCCGTTTAAGCAGCAAAATCACCTTTCTCGCCATGCAATTCTTCAAAACACGGACATAGAAAGCAAGGAATGTCTATCCCCGCAGTATGGGGGGTTACATAAATGGGGGGTACCCCAAAATGGTTTATAATGGAAAATCCAATTAGAATGGACGATTTAAGGTAGAAACCCCCGTATTGAATAACAATCAGAAACATGGTCAGTTAATATCCCACACATTGCCCAGCTATGCTTCGAGTACTGGACTGGTTGGTGTTTTCAACCCCCCTGAAAACTATGAGTTATTGGGGATCACCATCCCATTTTTATGGAATAAAACCAGCAGCCAAATCATCATTGATACATATAATCATATATATATACATAGAATATATAGATATGTGTGTTTGTGTGTGTGTGTGTGTGTTCCAAATATATATATATAATATATATATATATGTCTCAAAAATATTCAAAAATCGTTACAACCTTAACCTTTTATGGTCTAACCCCCTTTAACGCCACGCCACGCAGCGGCTCCGCGAAGCGGGGCATCTCCGTCTGGGCGCGGCGTTGCAGCAGCTGAGGCCGCAGGGGGGGCCGCGGCGCCACGTCGGCGGCCTGGATGAAAACATGATGAAACTAATGATGAATGATGAAAATATAGAGTAATAAGTAATGATGATGATGATGATGATGATGATGATTATGATGATGATGATGATGATGATGGTAATCATCATCATCATCATCAACAACAACAACAACAACACCAGAAATGTCGCTATCAGATTATAAGCTCCAAAAAGCAGAGCAACAATATTACTTTGACTGTCGCATCACCTAAATGAATCAAATGGCCATCACTACTGGAGGCTGCATGAAATCCTGGCCTTGCACTCACTGTCCAAGGTCTCTATGTCGTTGGCATCCTGCGCGAAGAGCACCCCTGCCGCACCCTGCTGCGCTTCCACTGTCTCGAAGCCCGCTTTGTCACCAGCCTGTGCTTAGGTGCAGGTCCACCCATTTTGGATCAGTTCGGTGAGGTAGTCAACTTATGGGGAACCTCCACATTCCGGCTGATTTACGTAACCATTGTCCCTTGTTCCAGACAAAGTGTGACATTTTACAGACCTGAAATATGCGATCTCTGGGGTCATGCTGCTTTCATGCTGGTGTCATGATTGGTGGTTTCATGGTGGTTTCATGGTGGTTTCATGGTGATCTTAGGGATACTCTCTCTCCATCCCGGAATCCCGGCGCCCGCCTCGAGCTCGGAGAGGCAGCGCTCGGCGGCCTTCCTTCGCGCATCGCAGCTGCCGTTCTGCAGGGCCTTCAGCACGCTGAGCAGCAGCGGCAGGATCTCGGCCTCGCGAAGCAGAAAGCAATGGATCATGGGAGATGACAATGGGATACTATCCATAAGGCACATATTGATCAATAATGATAGTATTATAATTATAATCTATAATAATCAGTATAAACAATGGAATATTATAATGATGGGGAATCAAGATGAATCAACCAAGTATTGAACATAAGTTGACCCTAAAGGATATTCACTGACCAAAAAGAAGAAGTGCGCAACCCTTGATCTTCCTGCGGCGCCATGGCCTTGGCTTTTGGCCCACTCTGCAATTTTTCCTTCCACAGCAAGGTGGCCACACGCCGCACGTCGTGGTGGTCGTCCGTCCGCGCAATGAAGATGGAGACCAGCAAGGAATGCCGATGAAAGGAGCTTAAACAATCCATGCTAAGGAAGTCCTGGCCCAAAAAGCGTGATATTTTAATGATATTTCAATGGTATTCAAGAGTTGTATCACAACTTATCACAACTATTCACAACTTACCACTGACAAATTATTTTTTGCATAAGCCTTTCCAAAGGCTGCATGTCCCAAAATCAAGTCAAAGAGTGCTCTGAACTTCAGATGGAAAGTGGAAAAAACAGAGTTCAAGGTTCAGACCGCACATCGCCCAGTCCTGTCCAAACTTGATTCCTTCGCTGATTTTTTCGCAGAAGGAGAAAAACAGGTCCATGGCACGAGCACGCGGTTCTTCTTCTTGGAAGAAGAGGGCCTGGCTGAATTTTCCTCCGGCCCCCATTGGGTCCTTAGTCGCCTTTGTCTTTTGGATACCTAAAATCCTAAATCCATTTTGTTTGAAAGAAAAGAAAACTGTCATCTTTTCGTTGCCTTGGCTCAACTTTTCACCTCGCACAGCTGGCCTCTTGCATGCGCGGCAGGAGCAAATGGGGCGCCGTGGCGCCGTACTCGTCAATCAACGTCTTGACGGCAGCCACGGCCTGACAGTCATGGTAGGTCTGATGGTGTTGCCAAGCTCAAAAAGGATCATGTAAGCACTGTTTAACGAAGGCTAGCTCTAATGGCAGAGTAAAATCAATGCGGAACAGATTGTCATGAGGGAGCCAATCATGGCAGTGCAATATAGTTCAATGATAATTTGCATTAATTTACACAACAGGTTTTCACATCATCTGTTTTGCATATCCCCGACCTGCTTGTGCACGACTTCCGACTCTTCCTGCAAAGCATTCCTGGGTTGTCAAATCTTCAAGAAATACGTTTGACCCTGGGGAAAACTATGGAAAACTCACTGGCCAAGCTGCAGTGCAAAAGGCAAGCTGTGCTTCAGGTGGGGAAGGAAAGCCTCTCACAAATCAGCAGGGTTGCGGCTGCTCAATTGCAACAGCAAGTCAGCAAGTCTTAATATCGAAACCTGCCAAAGATCTAAACATGTGAAACACGTCTGAGCATGTCTGAGCCATGTTTTCTTTCCAAAAAAAGGCCAATGCCAATTCATCCAAAAAAACCTAGGAAAAACATCCCCAATCTTCATCCCGAAGGGTTTTCCCCAGCTGACCCGCACCTGTGGGCCCAAGCCGGCAATGGCTTGGATCAGCTGCAGGCCTCCAGCCTTGCTCTCTATGGTCTCACCTGGACATCGATGGCATGGGGACGTTCTGGGGAAACAGGGGAAACTCAGTGCAGGCTGGGACTGGTTCCAACATGTTTGAACCACTGAACTTCAGTGAACCTTAGCTGCCTCTCCTAGCTTAGCAAATCTCGCAGCATTTACCACTGCCCATGCTTCCCACCCATAGTGCCTGATGGGATTCGCGGCAAGATTGTATCATGCAGACAGCCTGTAGCAAGGCCAAACAGACATGGTTTGGACTTAGCTATGACACTACAAAACTCCTAAAAGATGGGCAAACAAAATTTGCTATGTCTTGCAGAAACTATCAATGTTTGGTGGCAACCATCTAACCAACCAAATCTGTACTATCTACCTTCTAAACATGATTATGAGGGACAATTATAGCCCCCCATTTATTGCATTAATGATGATTATGAGTTATAACCCCGTGTTGATTGGTTTTAGCTTATAACTCCGCATGTTCATCGCTCAGTAAAACCTCATGCTTACTTAGTGGCTATAGTGTGTATATATATAGAGAGAGAGATAGATAAGATAGATAAGATAGATAAGATAGATAAGATAGAGAAGATAGATAAGATAGATAAGATAGATAAGATAGATAAGATAGATAAGATAGATAAGATAGATAAGATAGATAAGATAGATAAGATAGATAAGATAGAGAAGATAGATAAGATAGATAAGATAGATAAGATAGATAAGATAGATAAGATAGATAAGATAGATAAGATAGATAAGATAGATAAGATAGATAAGATAGATAAGATAGATAAGATAAGATAAGATAAGATAAGATAAGATAGATAGATAGATAGATAGATAGACAGATAGATAGATAGATAGACAGATAGATAGATAGATAGATAGATAAATAGATAGGTAGATAGATAGGTAGGTAGGTAGATATATACAACTCCCCACTTTCATCCCTTAGCAACCACATGCTTGTTGGTTGCTACTCTGCGTTAATGATGATTAATCGTGATGACTATAAACCCTCATTGCTGATGGTCATTCGCAGTGACGTCGAAGTGATGTCGTGGTAATTTACCCACATTCCGTGGATTCAAATCCCAGTTATCGAAAATTCATTGGATGGATCAAGTAACAAGTAAATTATGATCCCATAATTGGGAAATTCAATATCCACTATGATTATGATCAGATTGAATCCCAATGTTCATGAAATTTCATTATAGTTTCATCATTCCTCATATCAGAACGTTATTGATTCAAATCCCATTCAAATCATTTTACAATCCCCATTGATGGTAAAACTCCATTATCATCCGATTGTCATCATCCATTGTCATCCCGTGATAAACTATAAATCCCCATGTTTGATGGTAGTTTATAGATGATGATGGGATTATAATGGTTAATGGTTGATGGTTATAGATGGTTATAGTTGATGGTCCATTCTATGTATCTATATACATAAAATGTATACCCAATATATCTATATACATATAATATATACATAATATATATATATATATATAGATATATACTACCGTATACCCATGATAAAGTATAAATCCCCATGGTTGATGATTATATAACGGTTGATGGTCCCACCCCGCCATGCTCCGCACCTGGCAGCAGATCGCGGCGCGCCAGCAGCACCTCTGCCAAGCCCCGTGCTGCCCCGCGGCGTTCCACCTCGGAGACATCCTCGTTCTGCTCCTGCGACCCGTGAAGCACCGTGAAGGTCGTGTTTCTATGGGGATTTTATGGGATTTTACCCTCAAAAATGGTGATTTGACCCTCAAAAATGGTGATTTCATTGCATTTGGATGCAAAAAAAGGTCTTAGAACATGGTTAACTGTTGAGTTTATGGAGGATATAACTATAAGATACTATAAGTATCGACTATAGTTATTGGGTTTATAAACCAACTATACTGTAGCTAATGGGGGGCCTCATGTGGCATTTCTTTCTATGGGCATTTCACCAGCAAAAATGGTGATATCATGGCATTCAGTAGGATTTCAATGAGAGAATACTGGGGATGAACTATTGTTGTGGTCATTTGCAAGGGTGTGAGAGCGCGATTATAACTAAGCCCTATGCCCCCACAACTATGGCCTCTTGGTGGTGATGATGACTAGACTAGACTATGCTGGTTCGAGGATGATTCAGCATGACTTACAGTAGAGGATGAGGATGAGGATGATGCTTCTTCCTACTGATATCATTTTGATAAGATTCATCATGAGGAAACTAAACAAAATGGCAAACCCAGAAACTGGTCCCTGGCTCCTGACTTTGCAGCTTCTTCAGCAAGAAGGGCATCATGTCTTTGTCGCAGATTTCGGGAAGTCCAAAGGCCAAAGATCCAAAGCTCTTGGCCGCTTCGTGCTGGACACCCACGGTGGGGTGCAGCAAGCATTCCTGCCGGTTGAATCCGGTTGATCAATGTTGATCAATGTTGATCAAACACTTGAAACTAACAGATTGGCAGCTTGATGGTAGGGTCATGGTTTCATCTCACCTAAAGACCCCTATGGCCCTGTTGCTTCACCTCCAGCAACGGCATCAACTCTTGCAGATACGGCTGTAACAGCACTGGATCCGCGATGAGGTGAACCGAGGCACCCACGATCCTCAGTCAACGCTGGGATTGACTCATTGTGAGTCCTTGGGGTTCCTGTTCGATGAAGTACTGCAGTTAATGGCTGAGGCAATGCCCCCTCACAGTTCTCAGACTTTCTCCAGATCCAGAGTCTGACCACTTTTTTGTTGTTGAAACTCACTCTAAAAATCCACCTAGCAGCCCTGCCTGTCCAGATCAGTCAAGGCTCTGTACGCCCTTCATCTTTGCATCATGAGCTTGTTCTCGCATGGCTCTTGACACGGTGGGGAAGAGCAGAGCGAAGGCGCAGGAGTCAACCTTGGAACTGATCATCTGACAGTGCCAGCTGTAAGCAGAGCTAAGGAAACAAAGTCAACCATGCCATTGCGTGTCAAGAGCGCCGTCTGGCAGGGAACTCCAAAGGGTTGGTTAAGACTCGACAAAAATTTCAAATTGTTTCCTCGCATGTGCTGCCACGGTTCGGTGTTCAGAAAGGTGGTGTTTGCCATTCTGTGCAGAGTTTCGGTGGCCTTTTCCATATTCGCACTATCCTGATTGACAGCAGGGGTCACGGCAGGAAGGCATAATGTCAGGATGTTGGACATCAAAGAAAAACAGCTACAACATTAGCATTCTCACGGTCACTTAGGGAAGGCAACCGAGGACGCGAACTGCTCCAAGGAATCAAAAACTCGTAGGTTGAAGTTGAAGCCCAGTCTCAGAATCCATGTGGTGATATTGTAACAGCCCGTCGTCATGTATCCTACCTTCCCATATCCATCATGCAGATTCCACCAAGCATTCTTCTCACCCTCATCATCATCATCAGCAGCAACATCATCAACAACAACATAGTCACCCAACATCATCTGCCACCATCTTCATGACCACCTTCCTGCAACGTTCCGTTCCGTTGGTTTTCCGAGGGTCCAAAATGCTGGTGATGATATCATCCGCCAACGCGCGAATCTCCGGAGTCTGTGCCAGCTCTTTGGCCATGCTTCGCAAGAACGACTCCGCCTCTTTCTTCACCTGATGAGGGTCACAGCTCAACAAGCTGTGGATGTTTTCTTGCCAAGGGAAACACCAAATTGTGGAAAGTCCCAACAAGTGCAAATGTTGTGCAGGCACTCCTCAAAATCCTTTGATTGTGAATTTGGAATGCAAACCTGCTAACCCTCGCATTCAGATAGCCTCTTTGCGTGCGTCACCCACTGCATCTCGCAAAGCGGACATGATCTTCCTTGGGCAACTTCAGCGTTTTGCAGAAATATTTGTTTGGAATGACCTGCTGGTTACATGTAAATGGTTCAATTGCAATTCATGTTTCTGCACGATGTTTCTAACCCAACAACTCCATGTGGGCATTTGGGGAAGCTGGTATGGCATGGCAACCGAAGACATTTTCTGGCATTACAGAAGCCTGCATGGATTGATAACCCTGGGCTCCAATCGAGGCGGAAATGGGATCTCACAGCGGGAGATCCCAAGAAATGTGGGCGCAGAGGCAGCACTCCCACATGACTCACACAAAAAAACCCTAGAAGTTGTGTACGTATGTATAGTTTGTGTCAGAATACTCAGGAAAAAAAACTCTCCAAATCCCCCTGTGATGTCCAGCATCGGCATCCAAAGACCCGTCTGCCTCGGGCAGAGCTCCTGAGAACTCTGCAGCAATTCTCTCAGCAGCTGAAGCACCGCCACCTTCACCTTCCTCGGTGGGGTCAGGCAACTCATACAGCAAAGCTAAGGATCACTATCATTCTGAGGTTCTCCAGACCTTATTATCCTTACTTGGAACCTAAGGATGAATTGCTGTTGTCAGACCTGGGACACGGAACCCGGTCACCTGGCTTTTGAGTCCCTTGACCATCTAATTGTTGCTGAGGGGCCACTTCCCTGCAGCCGCAGCGCCCAAGTGTGCCAAAAGCACTGGAAAGACTGCCTGACAAACTGACAAACACCATGGTGTTGTCATTTCAACAAAAATCCAGCATCCAGAAAGATCTTGAAAGATCCACAAGCAGATTGGTCAATAATGAGTGGTTCATCCACAATTCATCCATAAATCATACATAGCCATCCAAAAATTGTAGTGATACCTTGCCCCATGGAGTGACATCTGGAGCTTCAAGGCCTCCGGCACGGCGCTATTCTTAGGCCCACAGCTGCACACCACGCGGCACAGGTCTGCCGCGGTGCCTGCGCTACGGAGTTCACTGAGTTCACATCTATGGATGCAGAGATATGAAGACCGGGACCCACAAGGGTCGCAAAGTGAGGGACCAGTTTATGGTGTACCCATTTGAAACACAAACTGAGAATACAGCTTCAAGACTGTTCGCCTCTTTGTGTGCGTGATCTAAGTATCGACCTTCCAATCTAATCAAGAGTCCCATGCCTCTTTGAGGTTGTGTGGGTTTGCCTATGTCCCATGTTCTTAGACAGTCAGTGAAGCCGCCCTAGCCCAGCCTCCAGGTTCTCCTTTCAGCTTGGTCTCTTCTAGTAGAAGCCTTTCAGTCCAGCAAAACGCTGGGAAGCCAAGCTCAAAACAACAACGGACATTGGACATTCATAGCAATATATAGCAATCATCTCTCATCCAAAGACAACCAAAACCTGGGAAGGCAATTGAGAGACCCTCCTCCAGTTCATAGCATGAGATCAACAATTCACAGGTCCATATTCAATCATCCTTTTCCCCAAACAAAAATAATCCAACCTCTCACAAAAATTCGTATTGTGGTGCATTTCATCCGTATATATCATCAGATAACATCCATATAACCTCAACAACACCTCAACCAAACCACCACCACCACCCCATCCCCGCCGTTCCAGCCCAGGTCACAGCATCGCGGGCAGCGCCGGCAGCGTGGCGGGCGGGTTCCAACTCAGCGCCCGCAGCGTCTTCAGAGCCACGTCGCGCGTGGCAGCGCGCTTCATCTTGGCGCTGATGAGCTCAGCAGCAGCCGAGGCGATGCTGGCGACCTGGCCAGGCGTTTTGGGCTGGAGATGGGGGGCTTTTCCCTTTCAATATGAAGGTGACAAGGAAAAAAGGGGGGATCTATCTGCTTAATCTGACTTGGTTGAAATGACATGTCCCGATTGCCCACCTCAGCCTTGATGGCACTCTTGTAGCTTCCAGCACCCGCACCCTTTTGCAGTTGAGCCAGGGCATCCTCACTGCCCTCCACGGCGCTCTTCACGACTGCCGCCACCTGCTGGGCTGCAGTGGGATGCCAGCAAGTTGACTATTTTTTTTGTCCTCATTTCACTGCCAGATAAGTCTTTAAGGATAGCTCAAAATCTATAACTCCATTCACTACAACTGGGAGGGTTGTGGTAGGGATTCCGCTGGATGGATGTTTCACCATATATTTCAAGTGCCTCAGCATCCGCATCGAAGTCACCAGCAACCTCTTGCACCTGGTGCAATGGGTGAGATCGTTGGGAGGGGCATGTTGCAAATCCCGTGTTTTTTTTTCTGCTGACATATTATTCATGTTTGAAATGCAGGCATTGGATGTTTGACCCCATTTTTAGACACACCCAATTTCCATTATCAAGCCAGGCTGGATCTCTATATTTCGTGGTCAAATCCCCAGAAATGTGTTGGTTCATTGCCCCTTTATATCCTCGGCCCATAAAAAAATCCTGCTTTTGTAAAGGCCCCATAGCACCTCTGCACTGGAGGCTGCCTGCTTCTTGGGAGCCGGCTCACTTGGCCCTGGGGCGTCTATCGCTCCAGAAGTTCGCCAACGAAGTTCATTGCCAACTAGCGAAATTCCGACACTACCCAACATCAACACTAAAGAGACTATATATATCCACCTTTGGATAGGCATCAAACTGCCGCAATCCTATGGTACCAACTGTGATTCCCCGCCTGTGGGGCCCTTCTTCTTGCCAAGTCCACCCACCAAGGCTTCTTCGTCATCCTTCTCACGCTCTGCGCGTCGCTTGTCGCGTTCATCCTGGAAGCAGCGAAAATACGAGGTTTGACAAAGCAAAATACTACCAACCACGAAGGGATTGCAGGCATGTTCAACCAGCAAAGATGGGAATTGGACAAGCAACAAACAAACAAATCACATTTGGGTGCAAAGGAAAATACTTTGAATATGTTTGGACCTAAACACATGGCTTGATGGTCTCTTTTTTCTCAGATTCAGGAATCTCAGGGGTACCGATTCCAGTAAATCTAGATATATGGCAGTGTGTCAAAACCTTGTACCCCTGGTGAACATCAAAATAGCTGGTAAATGGATGTTCATCCCACTAAAAATGGTATTAATAGGTATTGATCCATACCCATATAATTTAAATAACTACTAACTGCTTCTCTATCGAACCTGCACTCCATACGCCAGGCGCCTCCTCCACCTTCCGCACGTAGTTCATGGCTGCACGGTAGTTGCCGTCAGCCTATGACAGGTCCGTTTGGTACCGTTGGTACGACTTATTCACTCAGTGGTGGGAGGTTACCGTTAGCCCATCTTATGTGATGCACCAATCGGTGGGTTGGAAGGACATCACCATGCCATCAACATCTCCCATCCTGCAGTTCTTCAACCTGCTCCTTGACCGCGGCGATCTCCGCCTGTTGGCTGATGATTGCCCTGGACTTCTTGGTGGCTTTGGTGTGGACAACTTGGCTTACTTAGATTCATGTGGGCTGGCAGCAGGGTCATACGGGCACCTGTAGTGGATCCTGGATGAATGTGGGTCGTTTCATATGTTAGTCTCCCCCTCAACATCCCAAAATCATCCCGAAATTGAATCAACTGCCCAGCAACACGCTGTTCAATTTTTTCCAGGGTGTGACAGTGTAACGAACGATCACATCTTGACTTATCACCTTTCAAGATGTCTGTCTTCCACCCATGACTTGAAATGAGTTGAAGGCAGTTTGCCCTCTCATAAGTTCCTTACTATCACTAAAAAGCTCGACTTGCCGTCCTTGTTTTTCTTGGTGGGAGCAATGCCAGCCATCTTTTCCTTCAACTTTCTGATCTTGAACTCCTGTTCTTTCACGATCTTTTGGCATTTTTCCTTAGGATGTTCGGATCAAATTCCAGGAGCACTGAAGGTTCTTACAAGTGATCCATACCAAATAGCGCTGGTTGTGATGCCTCGGAATTCTCGTTTCCCCTCAAGGTTTGTATCCCCAGTACACCCCAAAAAACACAATTGGCCAACGGATCAAACAAGGCGAGCCAAGCGACAAGACCGATCTCACTTGGATCGATCGTTGCCTCAGTGATCTCAGGTTTCTTCTTTTTCTCGGGTTCAAAGCCATTGTAGTTCACCTGCCAATGGGATCCAATGGGGACATCCAATGGGTTGATGGTTGGAGCTTCGAGCAATCGTATCGTGATTGAGCAGTGTCTCAACTACGTTCCGGCAACATCTTCAAGAAGCGATTCAGGGAGTAGTGCAATGATCCATCCTCTTAGCCATTTGAAGTGATCCAATCACATAATTGTACCAATTCCCATCAGATTCCCATCAGCCATGATCCGCAGGGCACACCTTGGTGGGCGCTGGCATCATGGCATCTGCCTTCAGACTTTTCAGCGCCGCATCTATGCCACTGGGCATGGCGCCGCATTAAACCCGGAAGTTTCCCGGGGCGGCGCAAGCAGAGTTTCTTGAGCTAAAGCTGATGGACAGTTCGAGTGGACCAAGGGACCAAGGGTCTTGGGATGGCGTGGGACATATTTCTGGAAGAATGGTGCCAATAATGCTGGCAAATCTGCCAAGTGGGGCACAATGGTTGCAAAGGCAAGGGTCCACTCAAAATTCAGTTTCTCGGTGATGATACAAAAAAAGAGTATATATTCTATTCCGAGACTATTCCATAGTTGTACCTTGTTGCATCCAAAATATCACTTGTCATTGCATACAAACATCAGCAGCAACGATTCACCAGCATCTCCTCGAACATGGCGGCGGCACTGTCAGGAACTCTGCAGGTGGAGCAAACGTAGTTCAGCCCAGCCTCGTGGATCCAGAAAGCTATGCTTTAAGGGGCACCAGGAAGAAAAAGAATGGTCCTGGAGGGAATCTCAACAATTTTGCCAGTGGCTTTGCGAACTTCTGGCTATGAAGATTTGAAACAGAGTGCTCAACTACTTGCTGGCGACGTCAAAAAATCGCGCGGCTTTTTGCTTGTGCTGGGGAGAAAAGTCAAAGTTCCAATCTATCTGAATACATCTGAAGAGAAGGCCACAGCTGAGCATTCACATGCTTTGGTGGACTGTCTCTATTCATCCTGACGGCAAGCACAACTTTGATGCTCACCATTCACAACTCACAGTTCTCACTACGTCTCTATGTCCTTAGCTTGTTTTCCGATAAACCTCTGAGGCTCCTCGTCCCCGTAAGATCATGAGGTCATTATCCAAATACGTCACCTTGACGTATCGCTTAAAGCCTTCCTCTTCTTTCAGCACTTCTCCCCGCGGTGGAGGTTTCTTCAGGGGCGACGTGCGCTCGATGGTGCTGGGAGATCCACCCGAGCTCATCACCACCTGCGTCTTCATGCTGTAGTCCTGGCTTGGCTTCATGTTCTTCATGTAGATGCAATATGATGCAATGGGTTCCGAGCAACCGCCTCAGCTACTTGGCTGGAAGCCTCAATGATTAAGTGAGATTAAGTGACATTGGGACCTGAAGGCTCGAGTCTCCATGTGATTCGTCCTCACACTGCTGGCACGCTCTATAAAGAACGGTCATGCATATTCTGACTACTGCTCATTTGCTAATTGAAGATTCTTGCATGATGCCTGGCATTGCCTGGCAAAGATTGCCATATTGCATACAATCAAAGCACTGTGCACCTGTCAACACTGCATGAGGTGTACTTTACCCATTGAGATCAGTGACACTAAGACGGGTCCAACCTTTGTTTTGATGTGATCAAACCAGGACGTCCCCACCAGACCCATTTCATCATGATGATCAGCTGCAAAGAACTGCCGGATCTCCTGAAAAATCTCCAGCAACACAGACTGAACCTCCGCCGTTTCAGGCAGCGAGGCCTCTTTCAAGGCATCCAGCGCAGGTTGGACCTGATGGCGAGTGACAGGTGTGGACGCACTGTGGGGTTCGTCCAACCAGGGGGTATACCGCAAACATCCGCAAACCAGGTATTCCGGGTATACCCAAAATGGCATGTTTTATGGGGGAAAGATGTTCTGAACCAAGGGGAAATGCTGTTAATCGGTTAATCCATCACAATCAAAATGTCTTTGATGAGGAAAATGACGATAAACCATTTCGGGGGTACAGTAGCCCATGTTCAGACAAATCCATGGTGTGCCTATTTCACTGTCGAAAAAGTTAAGAAGTCTTGGGTTGGGGTCGTTCTTCATAGACAAAATCGTACCAATGATATCTCCACGTGCCTGTGAATGGTGACCACATCAAACTGACATCACATCGATGTTCAACCAAACCAATGACAAGTCGAATCATCTCCACAAAGTTGAAATCTTCCATTTACATCCATTTTATATTATCTTATCATGTATGCATGCAAGTTATCTATTCGAGAGGCAATAGGTTTCCAAACAAAATCACCACGACTTTGGCCCTGTGTCCCAGGCACCTTGAGACCACGATTCACCCCACAGAAGGCCAGCTCCCAACGGCCCAGCAAGCTCATGGACTCGGCTGCCCGCGCGGTGGGATTCTCCGCTTCCAGGAAACTCACCATTCCTGAAACGTTTCACACATGGGGAAAATGATGATTTTCTGGTTGGTGCTGTGTTGGAGTAGAATGACATACTATTATCTTAATACAATCTCAAAGTTGTTAAATCATAAAAGAACATGGCTTCGATCTTGAGTGGAACAATAACGATTCACGGAACTTATGTACTCAAATCGTAACCAATAAATGTTGGAATGTAAGCAAAACACTCACTGGCGGGGAAACAAACAGTTGGAGGTAAAAAAACTTGGAAGTTGATGGTCAGCAAACTGTGTTCCACTCCTTAACCTTATGCAATTCTGCCCAGGCGTCGTTCGATCTTCTCCTGTTCCCCCACAGATCTTTGCTGAGCGGGTCTTTCTTGCAACAGCTGAAGGAACTGATCCTGCAAGGAAACACATGAGGCATCATGCGACTATTTTAGTTGCGTGAAATAAAATCCTGCCATCTCAAAAAGCTCCGGTTTTGTTCTCTTTGCATGAGCTAATCTCTTCTCAATGACCCCCCTTCAAGAATTTGATGCCACACCAACACCACATCTCCGAGAAGGCACAGAACTGAAGAGAACATTCGTACAGACCTACCTAAAGAGTTTCAAGCAGGTACGAAATCCTTTCTGAAACTGCCAATCGTCGAAATCGGTTATTGCATGTTATTACTATTTTCCCCAAAAAATGTTTGTAAAACTGTTACATCCCAACAAAAAAAAATGGTAATCAATGGTCATCCCACCCTCATTCCTCAGCTCCTTGCTGTAGACCTCAAAGTACTCCAGGTCACCGGTGGCTCGACAGGGCTGCCATCCTCTGCTCGGCGCAAAGGTCCAGGACTTCAGGGCCAGCGCCAGCAGCAGCGCCAAGAAACACCGGCCATGGGCGAAACGGGGCATGAGGAACTGGTCTTTCGGTGAAAGTCATAAGATCAACAAGGATTCAAGGTGAGACTAGCAGCAGCGGCTAAGCTAGACTCGACTTTTAAAAAGGAGGCAGATTATTGTGAACATGGTAAATCTAAGTAAATCTAAGTAAATCTGTTGATTACCCAGAGCCTTTGCATTGAACTGTCTTTCCGCTGTCGCTGAGTCATGTTTTGTATCTTTGCTACCTTGGTAAGGTATCTTTCTATTGCGCTCTGCAAGTGGTACGGTATACGGTATACTGTCTTGTCTGAAGTTCAGAGTTGCAGCAATCTAGGTGGCTTTTCAAATTCAACAGCCATCAGCAAGGAACATGTTTGACAATGGCCAACCACAAAAAGCATCCACTTGGGACCATGCTCAACGACAAATCCATAGATTTGGACCCAGCGTTGAACTCATAATGGAGGGTAAATGCATCCCAAGCTGCTGCCACTCCTGCAGCATGACTCCCCCAAGCCTCTCCGGAGTACTTGAAGTGAACGTTTGCGCCCTTGCGCCTGAGGCATGGATTCACTGCGTAGATTCACTGACTGCAGGCATGCCATTCCATAAAAGGAATCAAATGGGTTGTCTTGCGAGTCATGCCATTGCAATTGAAGATGCAAACAAGTGCTTCGCCATGATTTGTCCGCACTACGCTGTCACCCACTTGAAGCCGTGCCTATTGCCTTTCTTCCAGCCGTCCTGGAAATTCGCTGAAAATGATGCATGAAAAACGAGCAAATGTACTGACATTTTTGGGACAGCACAAGGTAGCATCCTGTTCATGAGATGGTGCGTGTGAGAAAAGGATTACATACTCTGAATATCTCTGGATGCTTTCTTAGCTTCGATATCAGGTATGCCGCTAGATCTCAAAGATAGTTCTTGAATTGTTTATCTGTTTATCAATCATCAATCGACATTTTAGATTTTTGTGGTAGTTCATGGAATGCAAAAGGCTGCGAAAATGTTTGAAAAGAAAACAAACCAAAATGCACGAAAAGATTGTCTCCCGCCACTCAAAAAGCAATATCAAGCTTAACGAGCCTCGGTCAGTTTGTGAGGTAAATACAAATCAAGATTCAGCAAGGTCAAGGTAATCTGTTTGCAGAAGCCTAGGTTCTGGCACTGCCTATATCGTTTTTCTTTGTGGTTTCGGTGGCCACTGTTTGGAACCGCCCTGCACTTACTGCTACTTGCATTGAGGTTCCTCCTCCAACAAAGCTCTCAACTGTTCCAGCGCAGCACGCTGATCTTCATTCAGGCCCTGAAGGAATCACTGTTACATTGCCACTTGACATTGAAGAATTTGCAACATGAGACTCTCCAACCTATGAAATTTGTGTGATCCCTGTGCTTAGCCATGCAAACTTCCCGTTGTTTTGGTGTGACCAAACTTTGATCTATTTTGTCCAACTTGATTGAAGCCAGCTGAACAAAAAAATGACAACCAAGTGGCTTTCGCATGACTGCTGTGCCTCCAAATAGGCTCCATTCAGCAACAAAGCAGCTGACGAAGCATTCCCCACACTTTCCTGCAACATTGGGCAAACAAGAAAGCTTGAGATGTTTTGCCCACATTGACAGGGTCTTGCAATTCGACAAACAAATGGTTTGCCTTCAAATAGGTTTTCGCAAAACATATACTCTACCGAGTGCCAAAAAACGGACACTTCAGTCCAGCGCTGCCTAGGATATGCCGGGAAACTCTATGGTCAAGGTACTTCGAACCTCCCTGAATGACAATTGCAGTATCAGCATGATCTTCAAGTTTCCGGGTGTTGGGATCTGAGATGGCCCGCTACCATCCAACAAGAATGCACTCCATCTCCTCTTCGGGCTCTCGGGCAGTTGCAGCACCAGAACCTTAGCCAAGGCGGATCCCGCGTGGCCCCTCGCATGCACAGTGGCCCTCAAGTCAACCAAGGTGTCAGTGAAATTGGATAGATACCACTGGCGAATTCACTCTCTTCGCCCTAAAGTTTGTGGTCAATGTGGTCACTATGTTTTTCTTCTTGCCGTGCATCACCAGCTGAGACGCACGCCCATGACGAAATGAAGAACCACGACAAAGTAGGCTGTGGAACCAATGTCACCAAGAAATTGCAAAGTTTGAATTTTTGGACATGTGACATGTGGATAGCGAAAAAAGTCGGGTGATGTGGTTGTGCCGTCCATCGTTTTTTCCTTCGCAACTGGTTTTCTTCTGGCTTTCCGGTTGATGTCAACCCAGTCAACCCATGCATTTTTGTTCATGGGGAAGTTTGGGCAGCCAAACAGCTTCGCCAGGCAGCTGCAAGCACTAAAGATCAAGGCAGAACTGCAAAACAGGAAGCACAATCAACTCCCTTCCGCCCTTCGCTGCTCTTTGCAACAACAGCACACGGCCACACCGGTTCCAGGCTAAACTATCAATCTGTAGACTGACAAAGCACGAGATATGCTTTGCTTTTTGCGTTCAAGAAGCTATGCAAGTGTCATCATGTGTCACAAGTACATTGGCACACGTTCCGCCTAGGCAACTGGCGTCATGTCAACGCATTCAATCCTGCAGGGAAATCTCCACCGAGAATGGTAGCGCCGGATCACAAGGTGGGGGTAGAGTGCTATGATGTAAAATGACTCTGTCAAGGTCCGCTTTGCGCCGCATCACTGCCCATAGAAGTGATGCGTTCGTCACGTCTTCTGGCATATGACGAAGGTCGATGCATCGGACTTGCTGCATGTACTTTGAGCACAGAAATCGGAAAACCGGCTGCTCTGATTCCCCAAAATCTTCTGGAAGTAGAATCAACCTACCATCACATCGAGCCTGCAGGCTGGTGCCTAAGTCTGAAGCCCATTTTGCCCATTGCTGTCTGGTTTGTGCCTTTAAAAGTGCAAACCAAACCTATTCTGCCGATGTCGCTGCTTTCAAACCCAGTTCTTTTTCTATGACATGACTGACATGACCCAAAACAACTTAGGATGGTGCCAGCATGCTGACATCGGGCCCTGTCAACGCTCATAGCGGCCGCCAAATCTGTGATGCCATTGAAGCTCAGCACTAGCTCCCAGGCAGTAGGTGGCATCTCCATCCACTTGGTCTTCGGATTCTTCGGCACATCTCGTAGACTTTTCCTCTGAACCAAGAATTCCATAAGCGCCTTCTGGCCATCACCGGAAGCCAGCTCCCGCTCCAATTGCCATGCTGGTTGCTGCAAGGCGTCACACACTTTCTTCAGGATTGGGACCTGCCGTGGAATCAAATGATCTCGTGAATCGTGCAAGGTCAGAAACCAAAATACGCAACAGAAGATATTGTGGAACTAGCCAAATAACTTAAAAGGAAGCAAAGCTGAGAATAGACGATGTTGTTGACACTCGATATTAGACGCTAGACGTGGAAAATGGGAAATGAGATGTTTGCGAGATATGAAACTCGAGATACTAGTATGGATATTGATGGGACGAAAAAGGAAGTCTTTAGCCAAGCAAAACAATTTTGCATTGCGATCTATATAATATGGGCTGTCAGTGTCTCTTCGGAATGACAACAAACCAAAACCTGGTTCCTTGCCCCACCTTTAGAACCACGTCAGCTCCCTGCTTCAAGCACCTGCGCACCCTAGCGACTGGCGCAGAGGACTCAGCATCCTGTTGGGCTAAAAGGAACCCAACCAAGCGAGATACAAGTCTCGGCCTCATCTGCACAGCCCGTTCCTCGGAATTCTGAGCTTGGCTTCGCCACTTCTGCTTCAGTTTTGTGAAATTGTGTTCGCCTCAGATAAAGAAACAGATTGAAACAAAACATTCACTGGGAATCCGACGTGTTACCAAACATTGTGTAACATTTTTTGGACTTTGTCCGAGCGGCTTGCCAAGCACTCTTTTCGCATCCGTAAGGCTAAACTGACGTTGCTGACAAGAGGGCCGACGAGATACTTTCCACCGCTGCCAATGCGGACGCGGAACTTGAAGGGGCACGTGAGCCCTTCGTTGTCCAGTGCTTTGCATGAACCCAGAACTGCCTCTTCAAAGGAAATGTATGGTTTCTCTTTGATGCATACCTCAATGAGTCGTTTCAGTTCTACCATGCTTGAGTGGTAAAACACCGCGACCACTTTGGACATTGTGTAGGGCGACGAAATCTCCAAGCCATGCAATGTTATTTTTGCTTCGAAGCTGCGCGAATTCTTGAAAAACAGGCACGCTAATCTACCGCAATCTCCGAATGCCTCTGCAGCATTTTCAACAGTTTTGGGTTGACGGTGCCGTCGTCCACTTGCTTCAAGAGACTGCAAACCATCCAGAAGCCTGAAACAGCACGAAAACGAACGATGGCAATCCAGAAATAATAAGGCATGAACGTGTGGCGGAAAAAATAAAGAAACGGGCACCCATACTTGGAACTGTTAAAGTCTGGGCTAGAGTGGAACGGGGTTCACAGGCCAAACAGCAATTGTAGGGGGACTGCTGAACCCCAGCCTCTGCCGCTGGATGGAGTTCAACCCTTTCAAAAGTCGCCCCCAAACCGACGGATCTGCACTGAGGAGAATTCTGATCATCGCCTCGGGATGGTCTGCCAACAAATGCACATCTCCACCGTGAGGCCTCACAATGGCGCAAAATTTGATCCAGTCAATGCTACGTCTTGAAGGGGACTTGTCACAGTAAACTTGAAAGCACTGCAAATTCAAAAAGGTTTGACTGTCTCAAACACTGCAAAACACTGATTTGTTGTCAGCTTGCAGACTCTCGAAAAAAACTCATTAAATCTGATCTCATCTGATTGTAGTAAAAATGTTTTGACTATTCCGGCCTGCTGTGATTGGGTTTGGTGCCATCACTGCTGCTGCTTCCCACCAAGCTCATGTTGTAAGCCTGGCGCTTTGTTTGATCACTCAGCACCTCGTAAGCAAGTGCTACAGGCTGAAAGTTCTCCTTCAGGGTTTTGTGCGGGCAATTTAGTATGTAGCCAAAATTTGGGTTTCCCACGACTTACCACATGTGTTTTCCAATCGGTGGATTTATTTACACTAGCTAGCACCCGCTATAACTGTTGTGTTGCTCAGTTGCATGCATCCATTTTTGGTCCTTCTTGCCATTTAGTCTGTCCGGATGCGTTTCCAGCGCCCTCCGATGGTAGGCCAAAGTGATCTCCCTCTGGGTCGCTGTTCTGCCAACTCCAAGCGCCTGATAATGATCAGGTCCAATGGACTCGCACCGCCCGCTGAATCGTTGACGCTTCGCCAAGGACATGGCGAACGCAAATAAAAGGCATGCAAAAGTTCGGCACTTGGCAAGTTGACGGTTGTTGCGTTCTATGTCTGCCAACAACATACCATACAAGTATCAAATAGACGCCATTCTTAGTCCAATGAAACGAAACATTTCGGCATCCTGAAAGCAAGGTTTAGCCTGAAAATAGATCGAATGTTTCAATTGTCAATTATGTTGAGGCCACAGCACTTGGAAACACTTGGAATATGTGATTGCTTCTGCAAACCTGACAAGAGTCAGATGGACAGTCTCGACGAGGTCTGCAAACCAATTTGGTGAAAAAATTGACCCCACTAAAGGTGCTCCCACAAATCTGTGAGTTGTTTCCAAATACCAACTGTTTGGAGGATCTGAATTTGTTTGGCGTCTGCCAAAAAAATGGAGGTTTCCTGGAATACTACAGTGCCGATGTCCAAAATTGAAAATTCCAATTTGGACTAACGTCTGCATGAACGTCGCAACTCAAACGTACGATCAAGGAACATACAAACTGTTTCCTCCGCTGATTTTCAAATACGTTCAGCAAAAATTGACAAAACGTTGATTCATCGAAACGGCTAAATTTCAAGAACACTGCCCTGACCAAACGCACACAGCACAGCCACGGATTTGGCCCCAAACAAACCATTACTCCATCGCACATCCCCATCCATTTGTTCACAAAGGCAACACTAGGTTCCATTCAGCAACAAGCAGCTGAAGAAGCCTTCCTCACGCCCACCTGCAGAAAAAAGGAAAGTCAAAAAAACATTGCCCGAGTCTGACCTGGTTCCTGTGGAAAAGTTCTTTAATCCTAAAGCGGACCTACCGCTTGCAAATTATTCCACTAGTTCCGCAAAAACAGGCAACTATAAAAATGCAAATTGTTGTGATGCATGGATGGCAAAGCGAATCCACTGATGGACCGTAAGGTGGTTGGAGCCGCATCTTTATTTGCAATCCCCGTGCATGCAGCTGACACACACTTCTTTTGACCAGATGGGATTTGTTGTTCAGCCGTTTTTGCTGTGGGTTATGGCACTGAATTTGCTCACGAAGTAGCCAATCAAGAGGCATCCAAGGATAGTTCAAACTGAAAATTGTAAGTCCAAGGTGGTGCAGGGGTGGCAGGTGGGCTGCAAAAGATCCAGCATTCACTTGCATTGAAAACACAATTCACTGAGCAAATAATCATTTGTCATACATGTCATCTACAGTAGTTATTTGCGATCGCCGTTCATGCAGTTGACACACACTTCTTTTGACCAGATGGGATTTGCTGCTCAGCCGTTTTCCCCAACTTCATTTCGGCTGAAAGCCAAATCCCTGGCAATGTTTTCTTTGCATCTTCTGAAACATCTGCAAATCCAAGCTTTCTCAAGGCTTCACAATCACCACGCAAAGGCGCATCGGCAATGTTGCTAATTATTCGCTGAAACGCTTTCAACACTGCTGCATGCAGAATGTTTTAAGCTGGGATGTGTCTCGCAGCCGTCTTGGCTGTGGGTCGGCTACAGCGAAGGCGTTCTTCTCGATGAAGAAGGTGGCAGTTGGGGTGGTTGGTGGGTCGAGAAGGACTAAAATTGCGGTGAATCCCTCCCGCCCACCACTTGGACCGAAAGTTTGCAAGCCGGGCGACTTGCATTCAACTTCATAAAACTTCGTGACAAGTCACTTCAGTTTATTCGCTGAAACACTTTCAACACTGCTGCATGCAGAATGTTTTAAGCTGGGATGTGTCTCGCAGCCGTCTCCCCCATTTTGGATAACTGCGAGAGGATCACCTTCAGAAACGCAAGAGCAGTTGCAGAAACATCCACTGCATGTATCAAAGAGGTACCCTCCACAACTCCTCTGGATGGAGGATCTGCAATATTGCTTTTTGAAGGCACCCTTGCAATCCAAGCTATAACATGTTCTGCACATTCCAGCTCCGCAAAAAGTTCTGCCATGCTGTCAACGCACGCATTATCTGAAAGTCCCTTAAGCAGTGAAAACTTTGTTCCCTCATTGTCCACAAACAGCACTACTCGACTATTGCGAAATTCTGACTTCCAAACGTACACTGCAAGGAGGGCTGCAAGTGTCTCAACCTCAAAAATGATTTGCTTCTTCACACCTTCTCCAAAAAACGCACGTACTTCTGCATCCAAAGCCAGGGAGAAAAAATCCGCCCGCACCGAAGGTGCTGGGGCGTGATCTTCCGGATGGCACTCGTAAAAGGTTAGAGGTTTACCTGTGGGGGGGGGGGGTCCCATTTTTCGGCCAAAACCTCCTGTTTTTGATAGGTCGTGACGCTCGCCTTCAAAAAACACTGTAAAAAACAGTACGGAAGACACCTGTTCGTGAACGCGCCCGTCCAAAATCGGCAAGCGAAAAATGAAAAAACCCCGTGTTTTTCAACTTTTTGACCTCAATTTTTTGGTTTGCAACATTTTTTTTTGCGGTTCCGCAGGTGGCCGGGCCCGGAGGCAGATTTTTGAGTTTTTGGACCCGTTTTCGGACTGATTTTCGTCGTTTTGTGATAGCAGAAACACTGGTTTTTACAGTGTTTTTCTGTTTTCTGCATGCTTGACGGCTAGCTTCAAAACTTCCAAAAACCTCGTAAATTACGCTGTTTTATGTTACGGTGTGAATGAAAACATCGTAAATACCAGTGTTTTTTGACGTTGGTTAAAAAAACACTGTAAATTACAGTGTTTTTGGCCACCTGACCCTCAAAAACCATGGTATTTGCAGTGGTTTCTGCTTCTCACCACGCAAAAACACTGTAAATAACAGCAATTTCGCCTTTTTTCATGTTTTTCGTTATTTTTTGAACTGCGTTGGTCCGCTATACATGACTATCAAATTCTTCGCGTTTTTTTTTCCGACAATCAGTACTTTCGGATGTTTTTGGTCTCAATGGCCGACATCATTGGCAGTTACGAGCGGCTGCCCAACGATGCGGTGCGGGCGGTTGCCGTCGCGAAGCGACGTGAATATATCTCACCACTAATAATCGCAACGCCTCCCACGCCACAAGGCCATGTGGGATGGTCAGGTTCATAGCAAGCATCAGTAAAGATCAATAGGTTCTCCTTGCCAGGCGCACTGACTTCTCTCGGTACGTTTCTTTTCAACAAGCCATGGAACATGCGCAGAAAGAAAATGTTTTTGGCTGTGAGCACGGACCTTCGTCCCTCTGCAAAATCAGCAAGCACACGAAGACATCTTTTGCCTGTTCTGCCATACAACTGCGATTCTGCGAACTGCATCCTCCCACGCAACCTCTGGGCCTGCTTGCTTAGCAACTTGCCCTCAGTCACTGTCTTCTCAATCTCCTCACAAAGTTCTATGCACCTTGACTCAGTGTTGCACACCAAGGCTTTGCCTGAGGCTGCGGACACAAGGTCGAAGGACACTCCCAGGGCGGCACAACGCAAATCAAAAGGTTGCGCTTTGTCTCCATCCTCTGCAAATATCCATCCAAGAAGTTTAAATAAGGCCACTATGGTCTTCTCTGTACTTCCATTTAATTTGGGCCTGCTGAAGGAGATGTAGTCGTCGTAGAACGACGTCCAGACGATAAAACATCCAGTCACCCCCAACCACCAGACCGCACGTGCAAGCCTCAAAAATGAATGCACACTCCGAACTGCCCCAAAAGGCAAGACAAGGCTCTTAAAGAAGCAAGCTCGTCTAGTTTCCGGATTGAACACCCTGAGGTAAGCAAACTGTCTTCCCTTTTTGCTCAAACCAACTTGCCGATACGCACTAGCTAGGTCAAACGTCCGCACTGCCAAAGAACTGTCCACATTGGCCTCCCTGCACAAGCTAAACCACACCATTAACGTTGCACAAGCAACATCGACTGTATGTAACATGGGTAACTCGGTGACTGTTACACTTGCATTCACACCAGATTCTGAATAGTCATCGATCAGTCTCACTTTGTCCGCCCTCTGTCGCAGTCCAAAACGCCGGGACAGAGGAGGTCTGTCTTCTGAAACCGAATTCTCATCCAAAGGACCGATCAGCCACCCCTTCGAAACCTCCTCTAATGTCTTCTGCCACACCACATCATCAATGAAATCATCACCAGAGCTTCTCACCTCATTGACTGCCACTTTTCTAACTCTAGCTGCATTTGCGCAGAGTTCTTCTTCTGAAATGAGCGCTGGTTCGAATTTCCCTGGCAACATGCCAGTGGCAGGGATGTCACCAGTCAAGTCTGACCCTGCACGAAGCTCTTCAACTACGCCCATGTCCGGAAAATTGGTGGCTTGCAGCATCTCCTCAAAAACAAGAATACGTTTACACCTCACAGCACAAGCAACGCTGGCATCCATGTTCGCTTTCAACCTTTTCTCCTGTTCTTCCAGCTGAATTGCTCTCTGAGTCCACTTGGCTACAAACTTAGCCCTGGTTCTTGCTACCGTTACTTCATCATTGTTTACATTGAACGCCAGAGCCTCAAGAAGTTGCGGCGGCACTGCAGCATCCAACGAGAGAGGGTGTCTCGCACGTGTTGCTTGCTCCACAAATTCCTCTTCCGTCCAAAAAAATTCAAAAAGCTTCAAACACGTCACACATGGGAATTTCAACACATCAACAGATACATCAACTTTTGCATCAATATTCCATGCAAGGCATTGTTCTTGTACGCTGGTCATCAAGGCCTGCAAGCTCTCACCCCCCAGCTCAGATTGTTGCAGGACTTTTGCATTGTTCAGAAAGGCTGATTGCAACGGCCAAATGCATTGCTGTTGAAAGAAGAGTGCCACGCACCGTGTTTTAAACTCAGAAATGATTGGGGCGATCTTATTAGTTGCAGGCTGGTTGTGTGCCAGTGAACGTGCTGCCATGTTGATGGGAATGTTCACGAGTGGCTCCAGTCCTTTTTTACGAAAAACAAGCATCAAAGTTTCAGCTATGATGTCACATAAACCAGTTGGATAGTGAACTTCCATTGCAGTTGCATAAATGCGCCTGCCCTGCTGCATACGATAGCCCCAAGGATCGTGCTGGTGTTTGCCATC